GGTAAGAAATAATAATAATAATAATAATAATAATAATAATAATAATAATAATAATAATAATAATGTTGTTGTATGTAAGGATCAGCAGCAGACAGGAAGGCTGCTTTGCTTAACCTTTCCATCACCTACTAACCTCCTCTTCTATTGTTTCCAAAGACAGGCAAAGGTATGACTGCATTGTGGAGGAGGGGGTTATTGGGGGTATACAAACCTCCTCTGAACAAATCTTGCCAAGAGAACCCCATGATAGGTTTGCCTTAGGGTCACTGTAAGTCAGAAATGACTTGAAAGCATACAACACACGCACACACACACACACACATTCACTTTGCTCCAGTTGAACAGAATACAGGATTGCATCCCTACAGTGCTGGCCTATGGATAGATACTCATAAATTAAACAGGGCTTAATCTCAGGAAAATATATATAGAATTAAAGCCCTAATTGTTACAATGGTAAAAGTCATTATTATGAGAATACTGAAGCACTTTTTAATGGCACACTTAAGTTGGTCTCCTCAAATTGAGCTCCTCCTAATGATTTATTTTAGCTATGAACACCACAGTGTTCCTATTTCAGGGCTGCTAAAGAAAATCAATAATCCTCTATTAAATGGATTTTACTGTTGTATAAATATGTATAAAAGCATCCTCTGTTATGTGGAGATGGAAAAAACAAACACATTTAAGAGGTACTTCATATTTTAAAAGCACTAAAAATTTGAATGTGGAACTATGTACTGAAATAGAAAAATGATCTACAAAGCTGTGCATGGCACTTATAAAATATTGTCAACAAGAAGAAGCAGCATACCAGTGAAGCAAATGAAGAACATTACATAAATTGTTTTCAAAGCTTTCTCCACAAATGCTCTGCAGTTTGTAAATATATCTTTTATATTTTCTTCCAGAACACCATTACGCTAGCATCTCAATCTACATGTCTTGGAAGCAAATACTAATCCAGCTGTTATGTGAGATGGGAAGAATAAAATAATGTATGGCTTTCATTTCTTGTTCTCTCATTCTGTTCTAGCCCCCAACATAAAAATGTTACCCGCACTGAGGACTGCAAGATCTCTGCATTTCCTAAAAACTATAAGTCAGAGCTGCAGGAGCAGTCTGCATAAACAGGCAAGTCTTCTTCAGGTCAGCATCTTGAACAGATTTTGGACTATCACAGACCACTTCCTGATGCAGCACAAGAGTTCCATTATTTTCCTTAAATGCCCCATGGAGTAATGAGGCAGTGGCAATCCTACATTGTTTCTTCCATTCCTTCTTCTTTAAAAACATAGGACGTTATCACATGGGGCAAATCTGCTGGTTAATCCACA